CACATATAAACACTCAATGCATCCCTTACACACACACACACTACATGCATCTCTTACACACAAACACGACATTCACTATGTACACAAACACTGCATGCATCCCTTATACACACACTGTAGCCAGGGCCGGATTAACATAGGGGCTGATGGAGCTGCAGCTCCAGGCCCATTTAAAAAAAAAATATTTTTTTTTTTTACACGCTACTCTTAGGTCTGCCACCTGCCTGGTATTTTAAGGCACAGCCGGTATTTAAGGCTGCCTGGTTGTGACGGTATTGCAGTAATACCGGCAATACAAATGCAAACATTTTTCTCAGTATAAATGGAGATTACTCTGCAATACCAGCACCGGACAGTAGGGGTTACAGCATCTCCCTGCCTCTCTCTACTCACTGATCCACAGGGAGCAGCTACACAGCACAGAGAGTCCAGACAGCAGCTCCCAGTCTGCAGAGACAGACTACAGCTCAGGTATGTGACGGATGGGGGGAAAGGCAGCAGGGAGACATGGGGACTCTGAGACACTAGGGGATACATGGTGACACTGAGACACTTGGAGATGTGGAGACACTGTCTCTATGTCTCCCAGCCAGTGTCTCAGTGTCCCCATGACTCCCAGTGTCCCCTAGTCTCCCAGTGTCTGTGTCCCCATGTCTTTCAGTGTCCCCATGTCTCCCAGTGTCCCCATGTCTCTCAGTGTCCCCAAATGTCTGTATCCCCATGTCTCCCAGTGTGTACATGTCTCCCAGACAGTTTCTCAGTGTCCCCATGTCTCCCAGTGTCCCTATGTCTCCCAGCCAATGTCCCTAGTGTCTCAGTGCCCCAATGTCTTCCAGTGTGTGTGTCCGTGTCTCTGTGTCCCCAAATGTCTCAGTGTCCCCATGTCTCCCAGTGTCCCCATGTCTATGTCCACAAGTGTCCCCATGTCTCCCAGTGTACCCAAGTGTCTGTGTCCCCATGCCTTCCAGCCAGTGTCCCTAGTGTCCCATAGACTCTCAGTGTCTGTGTTTCCATGTCTCTCAGTGTCCCTAGTGTCTTAGTTTCCCCAAATGTCTGTGTCCCCATGTCTCCTAGTGTCTGTGTCTCCATGTCTCTGTGTCCCTGGTGTCTGTGACTCCGTTTCTCAAAATGTCCCCAAATGTCTCAGTGTCCCCATGTCTCCCAGTTTCTTTATGTCTCGCAGTGTCCCCATGTTTGTATCCACAAGTGCCCTCATGTCTCCCAGTGTCCCCAAGTGTCTCAGTGTGCCCATGTCTCACTGTGTCCCCATGTCTCTCAGTGTCCCTTGTATTCTAGTGACACGGGACACACTGAGACATGGGGACATTGGGAGAAATGGGGACACAGACCCTGGGAGACTAGGGGACTGGGCGACATGGGGACACTGACACTGTGATACATAGGGACACTGATGCCAGGCTGGCCTTCCAATTCATTGGATAGACATGCCCCCTTTTTGGGCATGTTCGCCCCTTTTGGCAGTTCTGGTCACGTGATTCATGTCAGTGGCCCACCCTTTTACCCCGCCCATTGAGTTCCTGCTTCACTGGACACTGCTGTTAGGGGGTATGGATTTACTTTAAAGATGAAAGCAAAAATTAGATAAAGAGATTAGCATAGAGTATGTGTTTTCTTATAGCTGCATCCTTTAAATTTTCCCTCCAACACCATCTCCATCAGATACATGACACTTGAGAGGTATGACTGTTTTAGTGTTTTTGTTTGATAAGATTCTGTAATTAGGCCCCATCATAATCTGGCCCTGACTGTATCTCTTACACATACACTGCATCCACTATACAGATTATACGCACACAGACACGCTGCATTCCTTACACAAATACAGTGGACTCAGGTGGAGCCTGGGGCGGACCTTGTGGGCAGAAACGTGGGTGGGACCCAGGCCTTGTGCTCTGTAAAGGGCCCCAAACGTTCTTATAGCAACACTGATGAAACATTCCCAGGTATCTATTTGGGATGTTCCATATAAGTGTTCGCATACTTGTGTTTTCTGTCCATACTACAGTATGCGTGCATGCAAAATCATTATCCTGGCGTGCACAGGATTATGAGGACTAAGGTTGTTTGCACTGTATGCCTTGTCTGTGCCAGGGTAGCTACAAGTATGACATAAATAAACAAAATAAAATTAAAATAATAAAACATATAGCTAACTCTGTGTTCCTGCCATTAGACTCAACCTATTGTGTCAAGTAAGACTTAAATTTAAGAGAAAATAATGACCATAGTTTGATTTAATTGCTACCCCATCCATATTAATCATTATATTATTAGTAATACATTTGTCAAAGAATTAAATGGGAAGGAGTTAACCCCACGGGATTTGTGTATGTTATTATTAAACGTTATGAACCTCTGTTTTGAAAAGGTTTAAAAAGTCTTGCATCAGGAACACTAACCACTGAACTATCACACTGGCTAAATAAACATTGTTTTAAAAAAATTGGAAAAGTTAGCTTCAGTCAACCAGATTAGAAATTGCAGTAAATAGTATCAACAATAAAAAATTAATTGCAATTCGTATTTATTATTAATTCACATTAATTAATTATTAATTATTTTTAAATTAAATATAAAGGTGTGTAATGTGGCGTAACAAAAGGCAAATACCCATACTAATTCTTTGTTTTGTGTGTGTGTTTGTTTGGGGAAGTTGTTTGTAACTGTAACTCAAAATATAGCGCAGTATATTTTCCTTTTTGAATAAGAAAAAATAAAACTTGAGTCCTTTGCTCAAGTGGCATATTACAAGTGGTGCAGAAAACTAGAAAGTCATGAGAAAGTTCTCTAGATCTTCATCACTCACCAAGCAGACACATGAGCAGTGACAAACTCAGAGGCTATGACAACCAAAGGTCTTTTACCACTAATGAAAGGGACTAGATAGCAGGTGACGTAGATATAATTTTCATAAATGAACTTTGGACTGACCACATGCTTAATGCCCCTGTGCTTGTTAGCACTTTACATGTTTACCCCTCATCACTTATAACATGGTGGTTTTGTAAGAAGATGCTTGACAAATAGTCATTGCTATAGCTCTAGGTTATTACTGGTTTTCAGAATCCAAGGATGACAGCTTTCCTTGTTCTGTTTTCTCACTCAGAAAATGTTCTTAAAAGGGCAGTAAATAATTAACACTGCAAACATGCTTTATGGAAATAATAATCTAAATTCTTTAGCATGACAGATGCATAAATCTTGGGAAAGAAACAGTAAACATTTTTTAACACCTTAATTATATATACTTTCTGCCTATCTATCCTTTCTCTCTGTATCTTTGATATGATTGCTGAGTTATAGCTTGCTAAATATCCTCACACATCCTGACATGCAGTATATTACAATCTTAAAGAAACACTCCAAACACCATAACCACTTCATCACACTATTGTGGTTAAGGTGCCAGGGATGTTCTGGAAACTCCCCCCTCCCAATTGATAGCTTAGGCATAGTTCAGGAGAGCTAGGAACCTCTGGCTCTCCTGTGCTGATAGTGTAGGTATCCTGATGAACGCCAAGTAAGAAGTCAAACCGTTCAAAAACTGTTTCACTACTTACAAATGAGGGCGCGCCAGGGCACTGCTGGCACCATAACTACTCACAGAACACAGGGAAAGGGGCTGCTGCTGGCTCTCATTTAGTATTAAAACATTACAAGTGGTCTAACCATGATTGGCAGTAGGACAGTAGGTGACTCCAGACACTATAACCACTGAAGTAATTACAGTGCCTATAGTGTCCCTATAATGCTATGTTACATAAATGTATTAATGAACTGTGATAGTACTAGATGTTTTATGGGTTATTTACAAATCATTGCATTGAAGTGATCTGAAATCCAAAAAGTAACATTTAGGCTTATATGTCCAAGCTTAACTATAGATGACTTGGACAATGTTGCCAAATCAGCCATTTCTTCACAAAGTTTGTAATTCGGGAAAAACCCTAAGAGAGAGACTCACAGGAAAAGACAGTCTAACACGAAAATCACCTGAAACACAGAGAGGCAGGCACGATGCCTGGGAGAAACTATAGAAAAAGTCCAGAAACACAACATCAAGGTGAACATTTAGACCAAAACAGTTGGAAAAATTCTCCTAATTTGTTTTTATTTTTACCTTGTCTATTTTAAACAAAGATTTCAAATTCCTGCACCGCTTCTCCAAAATTCCTTGTTTGGTGAATATTCAAATGTAGCAGTTTATCCCCCCCAATCTCTTTGAATTCTGTGTGTGCCATGTAAAAGTCAAATAGAGACTGGCTAAGACCTGAGCTGTGCTGGGTATTTATAGGCTTGTTCTATGACATCATTAAGAAAAGGCAGTGTTTACATTGCAACCTAGAAACACCTCAAGTGACCACTTCTCAGACAGCCACTAAGGTACTTCCTGAGTGACTGCCATTCAGTGTCTACACACTCTGCATGGAGACGCTGAACCCTCCCCATAGAGATGCATTAATTTAATGCATCTCCATAACGAGATGCTGACTGGCCAGGGATGTGTTTGACTCTGACCCCCTGGCACGCCTTCCTTCCTATGAAAAAGTATTGTGATTGGCTGATGATGTCAGCCAAGGAGGTGGATCATAGGCAGAGCCAGCGCCGGCAGATCTGTGCAGCATTATATATAAAGTAAGTTTTCTTGTTATTTAAGGGGGCTAGAATGGTTTTTAACACTATAGGGTCAGGAATACATGGTTGTTTTTCTGATTCCTATAGTGTTCTTTTAACATTGTGTAATTGTTTCATCTTCTCCTAGGATAGGATTTGATATTTTAATTTTAAATGGGCTTAATTCTTAATTCTCTATATAATATGTAATAATGTCTAAATAAAGAATTATATATATATATAAATATATATATATATATATATATATTTAAGGCTGGGCCTGTAGTTGTGGGAGGGATGGGTCCCCTATATAAGGGCTACCAATCCTCTCCCATGCTACCATTGTTGGTCTGGCGAGTGACTTGTTAATTACGGTCCACTCGCTTCTTGCTGCCTTTTCTCTTACCTGGCTGCGGGACTGCTCCTCTATGCGTTAACGTAAGTGGAGCCCACGCCAGGGCGCCGCTGTCGCACTCAGATGGCGTCATCGCGGTGTGGGCCCCTGTGATTTCCTGCCTTTTGCATGTTTCTGTCCTGGTTTCGCCCCCTTTCGGTTTGTCTGGAACCGCGGTCGGGTTCCCTGTTCGTGAGCGCTGTGGGGGCCATCTGCGTGTTCGGCTCATAACTGGCAAACGGACGTGTCCTGGTGGGGGCCGTTCTCGCATTTTTCACCTGTGGTGCCTATCCTGTCTGGGTTGTTATATGTTCTGAGTGGCACCACGTATATATATTATTTCTTAACTGCTACTTGTCCCAGAAGTCAAGCTATTGGATTTTATACCGAGGTTGGGAGACGTGCTGCCATTATCCCAAGATGTATGTGGTGCTTCAATGAGTGATTTAGGAATATATATGTATGTATATTTGTATATTTCCACGTGTTCGTCACGACTACTAGTGTGGTCCAGCACGCAGAAACTATGTAAACATATACATAGGCAAGAAAAGGAAAATAAAAGGACAGAGCGTAAACCGGACTAATACGCTAGAGACAGAGAATGGTCGAAGGGAAAGCCGAGGTCAAGGAAGCCAGAAAATACACAATACCATTTACACAAGCCAATTCAGGGAAACCAGAATTCAGAATAACCAGGGAAAAGCCAAGATCAGGATACCAGGAAATCAGATTCATAAAGATAAAGCACTCTCAGGAAACCAGGAACAGGAAACCACGACAGGGCAAGGGACTTGGGTGAGCTAGGGATTTAAATATCCCTCTCTAAGGTCTGATTGGTCAGAGGGCGACCTCTGACTCCAAAACGTGCGTGCGCGTTGACGTCATGACGTCACGCGCACGTCAGTATAAACTTCGGGGGCGGAGCTATGATTAGGCGCGACCACGCGGTCAGCGCCATTTTGGATCCGGGCGCAACGGCCGGAGGATGTGGGGAAGCGGCTGTCAGCTTGCCGACAAGCAGGTAAGCTCATTCTGTCGGCGAGGCTGTGCCGGTCGTGCCACAGCCATGCAACGCGTGGGCCGGCAGCCGCGACAGTACCCCCCCGGCTTGACGGGAAAGCGGTTGTGAAACGACCGGACAAGACGGGGCGCATGAACCCAGTCTGCAGGAACCCAACAACGTTCCTCAGGGCCATACCCCTTCCAGTCAACAAGATAGGACAAGATACCTCTTGACATTTTGGAGTCCATTATAGAACAAACTTCGTACTCCTTCTGATCACCCACTACCAAGGGCGGAGGAGGAGTGGACACTCTAGTGTATCGATTGCAAGTAAGAGGCTTGAGTAAAGATACATGAAACGAATTGGCAATCCTCATATGGGCAGGAAGTGCCAAGGAATAGGTCACTGGATTGATACGTCGAATGATTCGAAAAGGACCTATGTACCGAGGGGCAAATTTCATGAAAGGAACCTTAAGTTTGATATGGCGTGTGGATAACCACACCTTGCCACCTGGATGATAGACAGGATTGGCACCCCGTTTCTTGCCAGCTTGGACTTTCGCACGTATCAAAGCCTTTTGTAGAGCTGAATGAACGGAATCCCAAGTATCATGAATAGATTCTAAACGGGTGTTTAAAGCAGGAATGTCCGTGTCTGAGAATTCAGAAGGGAGAACTGTGCGGTGATAACCCTGATTTACAAAAAATGGACTATGATTAGAAGATTCATGAGTCGCGTTGTTCCTGGCGAACTCAGCCACAGGTAAGAGCTCATCCCAGTTAGACTGATTGGCATTGATAAAACAACGTAAACGAGATCTTGAGCAGATGGTAATTTTTTAAGAGGAATAAAATGTGCCATCTTTGAGAATTTATCGATGACTATAAGGATTGTATTAAACCCGTTTGAACTGGGTAGATCCACAATAAAATCCATGGCTAAATAGGTCCATGGAGCATTAGGTATGGGCAGTGGTTGTAACAGTCCAGGAGGTGATCTAGGAGGAACTTTAGAAACGGCACATATTTGACATGCCCCCACATAATCTTTGATATCGTTCCTAAGAGTAGACCACCAAAACCTCCTGGAGATAGCAGAGAGGGTTTTATGGATTCCAGGATGACCTGCTGTGAGATTATCATGGAATAAAGCAAGTACCTTTTTTCTTAATGGAGGTGACACATACAGTTTATCCGGAGGTTTTCCCACGGGTGCCTGAGTTTGATCTGCTATTATGGCACAGAAGAGTGGAGAAGACACTTCGGAAACTGTGGTGGCAATGAGGCATTCTGGAGGTATGATAGGAAATACCTCCTGTTCAGGAGCTTCATCTGTCTTAAACTGTCTAGACAGTGCATCTGCCTTTGTGTTCTTGGTCCCAGGCCTATAAGTAATTACGAAATTGAATCGGGAGAGGAACAATGACCATCTAGCCTGACGAGAGGACAATCTCTTAGCGTCTCCAATATAAGCCAAATTCTTATGATCGGTAAAGATCAGAAGTGGCTCTTTGGAATCTTCCAAGAGATGCCTCCATTCCTTAAGGGCAAGTACAATGGCCAAAAGTTCCCTATTCCCTATGTCATAATTTTTCTCTGCAGGTGTGAGTTTGCGAGAGAAAAATCCACAGGGATGTAAAGGCACATCAGGACTTTCTCTCTGAGACAGAATGGCTCCTACTCCTGTTTCTGACGCATCCACTTCTAGAATAAATGGCTTGGTTGGATCAGGATGGGTCAGGACAGGTGCTGAGGAAAATAAAGATTTTAACTGTTCAAATGCCTCTCTTGCTTCTTTGGGCCATGATTTGCAATTTGCTCCTTTTTTGGTTAGGTTGGTTATAGGAGAAATTACAGAAGAAAACCCTTTAATAAATTTGCGGTAGTAATTCGCAAAATCTATAAAGCGTTGCGTAGCTTTAAGGCCCTTGGGCAACGGCCACTGTAAGATTGCTTCCAGCTTGCGGGGGTCCATCTTGAAACCGGATGGAGATATAACATATGCAAGAAATTGTATCTCCGTTTGGTTAAACTGGCATTTCTCCAGCTTACAGTAGAGACCGTTCTTTAACAGGGTTTTGAGTACTATTCTCACATGTTCGTGATGTGTCTCTAGGTCTGGGGAATAGATGAGAATGTCGTCTAGGTACACTAAAACGAACATGTGGAGGTACTCTCTTAGGACATCGTTAATAAAATCCTGGAATACCGCTGGAGCGTTGCATAATTCAAACGGCATAACCAGGTATTCTTAATGTCCCATTCTAGTATTGAATGCGGTCATCCACTCGTGACCGTCCTTAATCCTAACTAGGTTGCACTTCTGAGGTCGAGCTTAGTGAAGACTCGAGCTCCTTTCAACCTGTCGAATAACTCTGAAATAAGGGGAATAGGATAGGCTTTTTATATCGTAATCCTATAAAAAAAACCCTATAGTCTATACAGGGGCGTAGGTCTCCTTCTTTTTTAGAGATGAAGAAGAACCCAGCCCCGGCGGGTGAGGAGGACCTACGGATGTGGCCCTTTCTGAGAGCATCCTTTATATACTCCTCTAAACAAAGGTTTTCTTGAGGGGATAGAGCATACACTCCTCCCTTTGGAGGCATAGTACCTGGTAATAAATTTATGGTACAGTCATAGGGTCTATGTGGTGGTAACCCCTCCGACTGGGCCTTGTTGAACACCTCCTTTAAGTCCAAATACTGCGGTGGTATTTGTGTGGTCAGGGGAGGTGCAATGGGAACATTGATGGTACCAATTGGTTGTGGCATCTGCTTTAAGCAAACACCTCTGCATCTCTCACTCCAACTCACAATCTCTCCTTCAACCCAATCTAAACGTGGATTGTATTTCTGGAGCCAAGGGAAACCGAGTATTATCGGACATGTAGGTGAAGATATGATTTGAAAAACCATCTCTTCAGAATGAAGAATACCCACTGAGACAGTGATTGGCAGAGTTTTGTGTGTGATGAGAGGCTAGGTAAGAGGCCTTCCATCAATAGCCTCTACTGCTATGGGTCTCTCTTTGTGTCTTAAGGGCAGATGGAACTTTGCAGAGAATTCTTTTGTCTAGGAAATTCTCTGCTGCCCCAGAGTCAATCATAGCCTCACACTGTACGGTGGTCTTCTTAAAAGATAAGGTAACTCTGACAAGGAAACGGTTCTTAGTCAATTTAGGGGACATATACATCACACCTAAGGTCGGTCCCCGTACGTGCCTTAGGTGTGCAAGTTTTCCAGCCGAACTGGACATGAAAATCTTTGATGTCCCTTCTTGCCACAATACATACACAACCCTTCATTACGTCGGTGTTGCCTCTCTGCCTCAGTGAGTTTAGTAACATGGGTTCAGGTTCTGGAGGTGGAGCTTGGCTAACCACCACTGGGTTAGAGAAACGAGGGGCTATGGACAAGTTAGGACGTCTATTACATTGTTTGTTTTTCTCTCTTTCTCTGAGCCTGTTATCGATATCTATCATGGAAGCAATAAAGTCATTGAGGTTAACCGGAAGGTCTCTAGCTGCGGTCTCGTCCTGTATACTCTCAGGTAAACCTTCTGAGAAAAGCAGCCACCAAACCACTATTGGTCCAGTCAACCTCGGACGCCAATGTTCTGAACTCTATGGCGTAATCAGCTACAGAGCGACTGCCTTGTTTTATTCTCATTAGGGCTTTGGCAGCGTTCTTTTCTCTGCCTTTAGGTTCAAAAGTAGCCTTAAATGCTGTAAGGAAGACACTGTAATCACGGGCTATGGCGTCTCCACTCTCCCATAAGGGGTTAGCCCAGGTTAAAGCCTTTCCTGTTAATTGGTTCATCAGATAGCCAATTTTCAATCTATCTGTAGGGAATGAACCGGGGGAAGCTTCGAAGTGGCACTCAATTTGGTTTAAAAAACCTCTAAATTCTTTCGAATCACCTCCATAACGAGGGGGAGGTGAAAGGATTATGGACGGTGGTTTATGTGGCATGGGAGCCACTACAGGTGGCGGAACCACAGATGGTACAGGAGGTGCCTCTAAATAGGCAGTTCTCTGGAGCAAAGGTCTGAAATGCCTGGGCAAACTGATCTAACCTGTGGTCCATATCCTCCACCCTATTCTCACAGGCGATCATATGTTTGCATAGTTCTGCAGGATCCATGGCCCTGTCGTAATGTCATGACTACTAGTGTGGTCCAGCAAATACCATTTACACAAGCCAAGTCAGGGAAACCAGAATTCAGAATAACCAGGGAAAAGCCAAGATCAGGGTACCAGGAA